GAGAGAGAGAGAGAGAGAGAGAGAGAGAGAGAGAGAGAGAGAGAGAGAGAGAGATCATGACTCAGGGTGGGAGGATGGGAAAGAAACGATAGTTTCGAGTGAGTCGATATCCTGAGTGCCTCGTGTATTGCAAATGAATGTCACTGACACATTGATATGCTACAGACTTCACCTGAAATCAAAAGTCAGAAAACTGGAGGTTACAAAAATCTCATCATGATCCCCCCCCCCTGATCACTACTTTCTCTTCACCTTCTTTCCCTTTGTTGATCTCCTACCCCCCTTCTCCTTCCTCCCAGGGCCTACTCCACCCGTTTTGCCTTTCATCTCCGTACTCCCAGAGCCCACTGGACCCTTTTTCCCTTTCTTCCCACTAGCTCTGTCCCGGAGACGTGCCTCCTGCGCAGTCCGTTTCGTCTCCCACCGTTTTCGTTCCTCCATCGATTTATAAACATTCACAGCCTGCAACAACAGAACCACACCATGCCCTCTTCTTGTTAGCACCTGAAAAAAGCCGCATTACCGCCCAAATAGGAAACTTCCCAATCCTTTTTCTTTCAATTGCTAAGAGGGCAACAGTTATGCGATACTGTCAGAACTTGTCCTGTCCCACATCTATTATTATTCCAAGTGGACGCTAGCCACAAGTACAGACAAACTGATAAACGGGTAGAAAGACCCGAGGAGAGCCATCTTGCATCGACAGGATTCGAACCCCCCACCTGATTATCAACAGCCACAAAACCACAGAGAAAAAAAAAATTGACAGAAATGCACTCTTGCCACAAAAAAATTCCATCGACACTCTCGTGCGGAGTCCTCTTTGTAGTTCTTTCACAGTTCAGGATTTAAAAACATGACATGTTCCTTACATGTGTTGATGATTTTTTGCAAAAATATCATTCCCCGTTTGGACCACTGTCACGTGCGAGAACTCCTTCGAGGGATTTTCGCTTTCGCTTTTAATATATTACCTTATTTGGTCTATTAAGGTAAGCGAGCTATTCGCTCATGAGTCGACCGTATTATTCTATTATTTAACTTCTTTCGTTTCTATTATTATTATGATGATGATGATGATGATGATGATGATGATGATGATGATGTACAACATTCCGGTTAGAGAGGGCAGGTCTTCTGCCTAAGGGGCCGTCACTTCGCGAGCGCGACTGGGTGGTTATCCAGGTAAACTCAGAGAGTGTAGGTAACATAGAAGACGTAGGTAGGGCCGAGATCCTGTTTCAACTGTTTGACCTCTTCCACAAGAGCAAAAGCTGCACCCTCGGCAGGTACTCGCTGGACATGGTAAGAGGGTATGAAAACACGCAGCTATTTAGGATCAGAGTGCTCCACGGAAAAAAAGACGGTGACTGGACAGCATTCTGCCCTGATACCCCGCTCGTGGAACTCCTTTTGACCGGACGAATGGCAATGGCCAACGGCGGGTAAGAGAACAGACGTGCAAAAACGCACCAATATTCAGCCTGACGGTGAAAGCCACCTACAGGAGACCGATGGACGACACAGCTGAAGGTGGGGAGAGAAGACATCATGCCGATCCCCGCAGGTTTACAGCAACTAAGATTGCCTCCCTGCAATGGCAGAAAGAGCATCGCTGCCTGCGCACAAACGATAGAACACATTTTCTTACCTTGTCCAGGAGCGGTCCTTACATGGCGCTGAAGGGACAGCATCTGGCGCCAGATGGGAACTGAGTCGACCTGGCCATGGGAGTGGAGGGCACTCTTCTGCGGGCCATGGCACTCTCCGGCGCACAGGGCCTTCAGGGGACTGCAGTTAGGATTGGAAGAAAGGCCATCCTATGGGCCCTCTGGAGGAAACGATGCATCCATGTCATCGAGGAAACGATGCATACATGCCATGCAAAACGTGCGAATAGAGGGAGGAGGCAGAAATCAAAGAACTAATACAACAGCAAATGCAACAAGAGCTTATGGGGCAAGGGACGGAAGTGAAAGCACAACTTGATCTTTTTCAGACAAAGAATGACATAACGTGGACGATTAAGCGTTTCTCAGAGGATTGGCTGGGGAGTGAGCTAGGGGGTATGGAAAGTCTACACCCGACGGGACAGCGGAAGTCGGCCAAGTCTCAGTCTGTACTTTTATCACCCTCGGACCTCCTCCGTGCACGCACGGATTCGAGCCGGCGACCTCAGCCTCCAGAGCCAAGTTTCTTAACCACTACAGTCATGACACACAGTGTACAAAAGTGGATCCAGCCAGTCTCAGGTCGAGGGGCTTCTCGTCGGGACTACAATATCGCCTTCGCTTCAAGGACTGGACCAACGTCGACAACGCTGCAATTCATCTGCGCCCCACCTCCGAAGTTTCCAGATCTATTTCCACCCCCACAGCCTCTCAATGGTGAACATGCAGTGGTATGGAGGCAGCAGATGCTGACGGCCAGGGATAATGCTGCCAATTTGGCGGCCTGAGAGGCTGGAAGAGGCCGCGGCCTCAGGCTGCCTCAGCAGGACGTCGTTTTCTTGAGCCGCTGGCAGTCGATCCCCTAGCAACAGGGCAATCAATGCTGCCATGTGTGCAACTCTGTCTCTGCTGTAATGTTGTAGTTTCCAAGTTTTGTAATAGGACGTTGGACGGAGTTTCGAGCAGGTGATGCTCCCCACCAATAGACTGGAGCCGACAGCAGATGGTTGTTATTGACGGATACTCACACCACCCCCAATAGCAGCATGAGCCGCTGTTTTGCCGGTTCCCCCGCAACCCCCCCCCCAAAAAAAAAAACCTTCACCCAAGCCTTCGAATGACCAGGCATCCGCAGCAGTGTGTGTTTGGTTGCATGCAAGTCAGTTTAGGTGGAAAAGAACAAAAAAATCTTAATTTAAAAGTTAAAACTAGTTAAGTGAATTTTAAGTTCATTAAGAAATTAGCCACCAATTTTTACTTTTTCAATCTTTTTGACTTTTATGAAATCGTCAAAAATATGTTTCCAGCCTTTCAGGTTATCTTTCCAGCAGGGTCACTCTTTTATGCCTCACACTTTCTTCCTTCAGGATTTTTTTGGGGGGGTTGGTGACCATGGACTATGCATGAAGCACACCCGCGCAGCGTGCACACAACACACCCGAACGGGCTCCGCAGTAATATTAAATAAAACCCAAGTAAAATGAAGCAGTAGCGGAACGACCATCTTCTCGTCCATCTCATCTAGATGTCCATCCGCTCACATCACTGCACATTTGTCATATATCCACCCACAGATTTTTATTTCTTTAAATTATAATAATTTGGACCATTTCTCATTTCTCAATTTATGTGTGACCGATATATAAGTACTGCCAAGAAGATGAGGTAGATGAGAGAACAATATAGCTGACTTAAAAAAAAAAAAAAAAAAAAAAAAAAGTGTGTCCTCCATGCGCAGAGGCCATGCTAATCTTCTTTCTCTGTATCGTTCCAATTTAACGGATGTCCTGAAGGACAGTCCACCCACAGATTTTAATAGCAGAAAACTGCCAAATAAATTTACTCACATGGGAATGCAACCTCCCACGCTCCCATGGCCAAAAAAAAAAAAAAAGAGACAAACCTCTCTACTTAACAACCTCCATACCTTGTTGATGTCAACGATGTTGTCGGAGTTCTTTGACAGGATTTTACCCAGCACCTTCATTGTCTGCTCCTTCTCCTCCTTCAACCCCTCCACCGGCAAACGCTGCAAAGAGCATTACAGGCAATAGTCTCAGCACAATCATCCCTTCTACTTTCATCAACATCATTCACTATGTTCGCTATGATTGGAGTCATCGGACCTAGAGCACTAGCCGATGGAATACGAACTCTAGTGGCACGATTTCTCGAAGTAAGGCCTTAGCCTTCGGCCCTTCTTTTCAAAGATGCTCATAACTCGACGAGCTAAGGGCTCCCATGTGCCGGCTTTTCTCGGGTTTCTTATCAGCTCCTCCAGGCTCTACCACTTTGTGGCCTTCGAATATCATCATCGCCATCATAATGAGAAAAGGTGCAAGATGAGCTAAATACATGATACGTCCTATAGACAACATAGTCCAAGCAAAACCACTCAAAATCTTCACTAAACTATGACCAGCCATCATATTGGCAAATAAACATATTCCTAAACTTAGTGCGCAAAAACGATAAGAATCCTCATCATCATCCTCATCATCATCATCATCCTCATCCTCATGATCGTCATCAACAGCAGCAGCAGCAGTAGATCTTCTTCTTCTTCTTCTTCTTCTTCTCCTTCTTCTACTACTACTACTACTACTACTACTACTACTACTTTCTCCTTCTTCCTCTTTCCTCCTCCACCTCCTCCTAGTACAACTACTACTTCACCTCTTTCTTCCTCTTTCTTTCTCTTTCTTTCTCTTTCTTCCTTTTTTTTTCATTTTACGAGCGCAAACAAAACAGCTCTGTTTTTTTCCCCAAAGCAGACAAGAAAATCTGCCAAAGCCCAAGCGCTCCTTCACAGATTACTTCAATACCCCATTGTCATCAAGGAGAAGGCCAGAGAAACCATGAGACTAAATTGGACAAATTGTGCACACTGCCCCGTACACCGCGCAAGACGCCGGTGATCTCTTATCAATTGAGAAATATAACAATTTAAGTCGATCTGAAAACGTTCAAAGAATTTCGGATTTCAAGGATGCCCTACCACAACCAACCACACAGAAATGCCATTCCTGCCCCCTCTATACCAAGGAGGCCCTGGCCATAATGAGTCCCTCCCCCCCCCCCCCCCCCCCCCCCAATCTTCCTATCTCACCCATGCATTAAAGATGTGAAGGGTGCAAGAGGAGATATACATCAGATGGCAACCGCGGGGGGGAGGGGAGGGGGAGCCGCGAGAGCAATCCGTGGAAAAAAGATAAAATAAAAGTTGAGAAGTGATAAGGCATGGCAAGGGACAAGAGGAAACTAGAGAACAGATAACAGCAGGAGAAACAAGGGAGAAGACCGATTCTCTGCAACTAACTGCACACGGCACGACCAATCTTTGTCACAGAAAGTTATGCTTGTGGAGGAGCCAAGGGAGTTCACCAGTGGGAAAGACCAGCAGGGGAAGAGAGAGAGAGAGAGAGAGAGAGAGAGAGAGAGAGAGAGAGAGAGAGAGAGAGAGAGAGAGAGAGAGT